AAAAAAATTAAAAAAATAAAAATAAAAAAAATATATACTCCACCATATGTATCTAATATGTTCAGGAAGGAAAATCTTAGGAATCACAAAGACCATAGTACTTTCACTGATCAATTAAATTACCATATATATAATCTTATAATAGCAAAAATGTTTAAATGAATCTTTATGAAACAATTTAATACTACCCCTTTATATCAATATTTATTTTCCTATTTATTTATATGTACTGATAAACATTTGCACAAATATCTTTGCATTTTTCTTTTTTTTTTTAAGATTTTATTTATTTATTTGACAGAGAGAGAGAGATAGCAAGAGAGGGAACACAAACAGGGGGAGTGGGAGATGGAGAAGCAGGCTTCCCACTGAGCAGGGAGCCCAATATGAGTCTCAATCCCAGGACCCTGGGATCATGGCCTGAGCCGAAGGCAGACGCTTAACGACTGAGCCACCCAGGCGCCCCATCTTTGCATTTTTCACACCTGTATGTACATGAACAGGAAAAAGTCTAGAAAGATATATAACAAAATGTTAAAGGTAGTTATCTCTGGGGGAAGGATTTATTTTCATTTATGTCTTTTCAGATATGTCTATAATTTAACATTTATTATGTGTATAAATTTTTTAAGCACATATATTAAAATCTTATGCTTTTGGAATTCTATTTCTCACACTACAAACCATTCTTTTGTCTGCCTACTCAAATCCTATTCAAGATTTTATTTACATAATCAAAATAATCTGGTACTGGCACAAAAATAAACACACAGATCAATGGAACAGAAAAGAAACCCAGAAATAAACCCACACCTATATGGTCAATTCATCTTCAACAAAGCAGGAAAGAATATACAATGGGAAAAGAAGAGTCTCTTTAACAAATGGTGTTGGGAAAACTGAACAGCCACATGCAAAAGAAACTGGACCACTTTCTTACACCATACATACAAATAAATTCAAAATGGATTAAAGAACTAAATGTGAGACCTTAAACCATAAAAATCCTAGAAGAGAACACAGGCAATAACCTCTTTGACATCAGCCATAGCAACTTTTTCCTAAATATGTCTCCTGAGGCAAGGGAAAGAAAAACAAAAATAAACTATTGGGACTATATTAAAATAAAAAGCTTCTGCACAGCAAAAGAAATAACAAAACTAAAAGGCAACCTATGGAATGGGAGAAGATATTTGCAAATGACATATCTGATAAAGGGTTAGTATCCAAAATATATAAAGAACTAACACAACTCAACACCCAAAAACCAAATAATCCAATTTAAAAATGGGCAGGGGTGCCTGATTAGCTCAGTTGGTGGAGCATGAGACTCGATCTCAGGGTTGTGAGTCCAAGCCCCATGTTGGGTGTAGAGATTACTTAAAAAAAAAAAAAGGACAGAAGACATGTCTCCAAAGAAGACATACAGATGGCCAACAGACACATGAAAAGATGCTCCACATCACTCATCATCAGGGAAATGCAGATCAAAACCACAATGAGATACCACCACACACCTGTCAGTATGGCTAAAATCAAAAACACAAGAAACAAGTTTTGGTGAGAATGTGGAGAGAAAGGAACCCTCTGCACCACTGGTGGGAATGCAAACTCATGCAGCCACTGTGGAAAACAGTATGGAGGTTCTTCAAAAAGTTATAGAACTACCCTACGATCCAGCAATCATGGTACTGGGTTACCCAAAGAATACAAAAACACTAATTCAAAGGGATACACGCGCACTGATGTTTACAGCAGTTTGATTTACAACAGCCAAGATATGGAAGCAGCCCAAGTGCACATCAATAGATGAACAGATAAAGATGTGGTGTGTATGTGTGTGTGTGAATATAAATATGTATATCTCATTCTTTATTTTATATATATGTATCCTGCATGTGTGTGTGTGTGTGTGTAATGGAATATTATTCAGTCATTAAAAAAAAGAATGAAATCTTACCATTTGCAATGACATGGGTGGAGCCAGAAAGTATAATGCTAAGCAAAAAAGTCAGAGAAAGACAAATACCATATGATTTCACTCATATGTGGAATTTAAGAAACAAAAGAGCAAAGGGAAAAAAGAGAGATTAAGAAAGAGAACAAACTGGGCACCTGGGTGGCTCAGATGGTTAAGCGACTGCCTTCGGCTCAGGTCATGATCCCAGGGTCCTGGGATCGAGTCCTGCATTGGGCTCCCTGCTTGGCGGGGAGCCTGCTTCTCCCTCTCCCTCTGCCTGCCACTCCCCACCCCCCCCCCGCTTGTGCTCTGTGTCAAATAAATAAAATCTTAAAATAAAATCTTAAAAAAAAGAAAGAAAGAAAGAGATCAAACTGATGGTTACCAGAAGGGAGGGGGGGTGAGGGGTTGAGTAAATATATGATGGGGACCAAGGAGTGCACCTGTCATGACGAGCACCAGGTAATGTATGGAACTGTTGAATCATTATATTTTATACCTAAAACTAATATAACACTGTACATTAACTGGAATTAAAATAAAAACTTTAAAAAAAAGATCTTATTTACAGTTCATCTTCTTCAACCTTCCTCTCATCTCAACTTTCTAAAATAATTTCTATGTTATTAGAAACCAGGTGTCACATGTAGAATTGTGCCACTGCCTACTTCAAATATAGAGATCTTGTATTTCCCCTAAACTCGATGAACATCAAAGATACTTTCTCCTTGTCTTGTATCTTATAAACTATCTAGCATAAGACTTATAAAGGATATATAATGGTTATGGAACAAAAACTAACTGTACTGATTAGCAATCAATTTCTTGAATAAAGCAGCTAGCTAATAACATTGTCAGGTATAAGGGAGGAACTTGGCTGTCCAAGTTAAAAACAATCAGGGAAAAGCTCATCAATATGTGTAAGGACTCTAAAGAACTCTGTGTCTTCAACTTAAAAGTTCGTTGTTGGGTTTTTCCAAAAGGAAAGTTCTACGCAACAGATTCATTCCACAAGATTTCTAGATACTTCTAGTGAAACTCTGTAATAATACTGAGATTAACTATATATTCTCTGATCATCAAGATTTACTGTCCCTTGTGGTAAACACTGCCTTCAGCATTTGCTTGAGTCAATACTTACCACTCAGGTCAATCAATCTTGATGCTCTCTTCAATAAAAACAATATTTGCTTTTATCTGCTTAGTATCATATTTCATTTGCATTACATAAAACTGAGTGTGCCAGTCTCCCAGAATGGAGTTCTTACAAGATAAAAGTTAAAAAGGAATGATGTCTATTCAATCACTCTCCCACTCATAAAGTTACATTAAAAGCTGCTTCCTGATTGCCTGGAAATCACAAGCTGGCTTAAACACACAGATCTATTTTCTAATCCTGCAGCTACATAAAGAGAGTTCCATGGATTAAGCTTCATTCTACCATCCCAGCCACAGGGTTGTAAAATCTGGTGTTAATCATAATAGTAATGTGAGCAAAAAAAAAGGCTTGCTTTACAAAAAGCAAGTAGTTTTCAATCTCTATAATATCTAGAAATGAGAAGTGATCATTTGAGAGGCAACAGTTTTGAATAATATGAGTTTACCATATGCTTGGCACTGTGCTTAATACCTTAACTGTAAATGTCTTCACTTAAATGTATTAACTTATTCAATCCTCACAAGCACCTATGAAGCCTATACTTTTATCATAATTTTTTAAATTTTATTATGTTATGTTAGTCACCATTCATTACATCATTAGTTTTTGATTACTTTTATCATAATTTCATTCTTATATTCATTCAACAATAAATATTGAGTTTTTTCTTTTTTCTTTTTTTTTTTTTAAAGAGAGAGAGCGAGGGGCACCCGTGGCTCAGTCGTTAAGCGTCTGCCTTCAGCTCAGGTCATGATCCCAGGGTCCTGGGATCGAGCCCCGCATCAGGCTCCCTGCTCCGCGGGAA